CAGGAATCCAAGTGCAGCCCACAGAACTCCAGCAGCCGAAGCAAGACAAGCCCCCAGGAATCCATCAGGCGCCGACGCCCACAGAACTCCAGCAGCCACAGCCGAAGCAAGACAAGCCCGCAGGAATCCATCAGGTGCAGCCCACAGAACTCCAGTCGAAGCAAGACACGCCCCCAGGAATCCATCAGGCGCCGACGCCCACAGAACTCCAGCAGCCACAGCAGAAGCAAGACAAGCCCGCAGGAATCCATCAGCTGCAGCCCACAGAACTCCAGCAGCCGAAGCAAGACAAGCCCCCAGGAATCCATCAGGCGCCGACGCCCAGAGAAGTCCAGCAGCCGCAGCCGAAGCAAGACAAGCCCGCAGGAGTCCATGAGGTGCCGAAGCCCACAGAACTCCAGCAGCAGCCAATGCAAGACAAGCCCGCACGAAAAAGGGATTTCGCAGCCATGGAACTGCCTGCAACACAGCATCCGGCCAAACGGTTTCGTGGCAAAACAACACCGACAGACTCAGAACAGCATGCCAAGAAAGCAAACGATGCAGAAGAAGTGCCACCTGTGCCGGCAGCTCCTTCCACCCACCAGTCGAATGATGAAGCCAAGCGAGCACCCACCGAGCAGCCGCAGAAAGCCAACGAATCCAGCGCCACGAGCCAAGCCCCGACACCTGAGCAGCCGCAGAAAGCCGACGAATCCAGCGCCACGAGCCAAGCCCCGACAACTGAGCAGCCGAAGGAAGGCGACAAAGCCTTCGCCACGAGCCAAGCCCCGACACCTGAGCAGCCGAAGGAAGCCAGCGCCACGAGCCAAGCCCCGACACCTGAGCAGACCGTGGCACCTGTGCCACAGCTACAGCAGCAGGCGGTGTCCAGACCATCCGATAGTGCAGTGGACAAACGATTGCGACGAGTCATGGCTCCCAACTCGGAGGGAGAATATCGGGTGAGTGAAGAGATTCGGAAGCTTTGGGCAGACCCTGGCAATGGCCGTGCGAAAGTGTTGAAACTTTTCGAAGATTGCCAATGGAACAAGGATCGATGCATATATACCCTCGAGCCTTATCATAGGATCTTGCCACCAGTTAGCCGCAGTTAGCCTAAACTCGAAATCCCATGTAGGGTTGATTATAAGTCTATATTGTATTTTAATGGGCTTATAAGGTAAAGGGTATATACATATATAATCCCTGTATCTGTGTGCACATGTGAATTACAATGTAAATATAATATAATACAATATAATATAATATAATATAATACAATACAATACAATATATTATATATTATATATTAGATTGTAATTCACATGTGCACACAGATATACCCGGGATTCTATAGGTGGCTATATAGGGCTTTGGGGTTTGGGTGTTTATTGGGGGTCTGGGCTTGAAGATCTTAAGGCTTTGGGGTTTGGGGGTTTGGGGGGTCTGGGCTTGAGGACCTTATATTGGGGTTTGGGGGAGTTTTCGGTCTGGGCTTCAGGATTTTACATCTTTGTGTTTATTTTTATTTTTTTTGGGGGGGGGTCTGGGCTTGGGGATCTTAGGGCTTTGGGGTTTGGTCTGGGCTTGAGGACCTTATAGGGCTTTGGGGTTTGTTTGTTTTTGGGGTCTGGGCTTGAGGATCTTAGGGCTTTAAAGGATTTTGGGGTCTGGGCTTGAGGTTCTTGTGCTTTGGGGGGTCTGGGCTTGAGGTCCTATGTAAGGTTCGGTCGAGGTTATTATATAGTCCCTGCACAGGAGCTTTTCACGAAGCGCTACTCCCTGAAGACCTCTTTGGAGAAAGAGCACGAGGTAAGCATCCCCTTCGACTACTTGTCCAAACAGGAAATGGAAGAGGAGCGCAACATGGATCCGAACCTTGCACCGGAAAAGTAAACCATAAACCCTAAACCTAACCCTATATAAACTCTAGTTTGTAACTTCCTTAAAGCACGTGCCTCCGTTTCTCCACTCAATTGGGATGCTGCTCCGCCTGCGTGGAAAGATCATGATGTTTTAAACCCTTTAAACCCTAGCTTCTCCGCTGACGGTTTTCTAGCGATCTGTATATCTAAGGGAAGACATCCTGAATGTGATTGCGAAGGCGGAGAAGGATCCTGCCCGCTACTGCAGGTGGGACTGGCATGCATGCATAATATGCATGCAGTGTTTGTATCGATAGATATATGTGTGTGACGGCTGCATGCTGTGCATGTATAGGTGGCATGCCACCAAGAAGGGTGTACGAACGTACTATGTGGAGGGGCGCGTGTCCGGTCATCGCAAGTAACTTGGAGTGCTATTCAGCTCGTGTTGCATGCTGCCGCACAGTTTTCAGTGAGATGTTCGGTTTCTAGAATGAGTCTTTTAACTTCTAAGGCAGATAAACCGTGCCGTCGTGAACGAAGAGCAAAGCTTCGAGGATGGTTCGATGCCGCATATCGAAATGGACATGGACCTCGAGGGGTGTTCTTTGCAGCAAGCACCTGAAAATGTGCCGCCCAAGGGTTCCTAGTCTTGGAAGATGCTTTGGGTTTAGGGTTTTAATTGGGGTTTTATATATAGCCTTATAACCCTAAACCTTAAACCTATAAAGGGTTTAGGGTCTTATAGCCTGAAGCCCCATCCGCGAAACCCCTCAACCTTACAGCGCTTAGCCGCTGTCCCTTTCTCTCCTGGCTTAAAACTCGAGGTTTGAACGCACCTGCTAACAACTATACTTGAAGCAGGGTTTAGGGTTTATAGGGGGTATATATAATATATTTATTCTAAACTAGAAGATCCACTCAAAGTCCCAGAGCCCTGCAATCCAAAACATCTGAATTCCGAAATCCCCGAACGTCCAATTGCATTGCTGAGCTTCGCGACATAACACCCTTAAATTTACAACTTTAGAGCCTAGACACCCCCCCGACCCGAGCAATCGTACCAAGGAAGACTTGGACATTTCGGGCCTTCCCCTAAACCCTAAACGCAAAACCCTAAACCCTTAAAGCCTAAGCCCTAAACCCTAAAACCCTAAACCCTAAAACCCTAAACCCCTAAGCCCTAAACCCTAAATCATAAACCCTAGACCCGACCCGGGATCCCAACCTAAACCTACATAGGCGCTATAAAGTTCAAACTGAACCCCCTTATTCAGCCACTCCTGGAGCCAACCTCCAAGCATCCGATAAAGCCGCACCAGTACACCCTAATGCAGAGGCTTTCTGGAATAGACTATAGATCGAATCTTGCAAGAGTAATGCTCTATTCAATCTGCAGGCTTCTACAATACAGATGAAACATCATAAGAAGCAAATTAGCGCAGCACCCGCAGCCCTAAACCACCAAAAGCACCCCGAGAACAGCCCCGTACTCTTATATATACCTTAGGTTTTAGTGTTTGGAGGGTTTCGGGTAGAAGGGTTCATGGTATTCGGGGCAAATGGTTCAAGCCAGAAACCCCAAACTGAACAGACCAGTGGCCTCGGGAAACCCCATATTTAAAGCCTACAAAGATCTGAACTTCAATCAAGTTCATTCCTTCACTTAGGCACTTCCGCTGCTGCACGGGCTGCTGAGAACCCGGCCAGCAAAGTGGCATTGGAGAAGGAGGTGCAGAAGAACCTGAAGAAGATGGGTTTCCCCGACACCGAAAGTGCAGCATCCCCCATGGTCATGGTGCCTAAGGCAATTCAATGTGTGCAGCGGCGGCTACAGAGGCTTGATGAATGCATGGATGCTTTGGATGCCCTGAAGAAGAAGAAAGAGGAAAAGAGCAGAGCGGCTGTCACACTCGAGAAGTTTCTTGGCTGTAGAAATTGTAGACACCTGGCTAGAACTGGCATGCTAATGTGTAACTAAGGATGATCAGCAAGATACAAAGCCTTCGTGACGAGATGGACTCAACGAGCGAAGAGCTGAGTGATCTTCAGACACAGGGTGTCGTTGATGGCTGGGATGAGACACTCCGATGCACTAAAGACCCCCCAAATGGAAGTATCATAATCTCTTCTACACCGAAATATGCAAAACACCCTATGTCGGAGATCTGATGGGTTGCCATTGCAATTAAATGCCCCCGATGTGAGGATCGCTACCGAGCTCGAGCTCTGCATCGTGCAAATCAAGAAGAAGCCACCTGGATGATTTTGTGTATCAAGCGGAACCCACGAGTGTCATTAAATGCACATAATTTAAGGTTGGTTGACTCCTGGGACCTCGAAGCTCGTGCAAGGACCGCATGATGGGAAGCTTCTGGGTTATGGGGTTTCGCGACTATAATTATTCGTGTTTTCAGGTGTGGCATCAGGCTAAACCAGGATGGGATTTCTAGTCAACCTTTGATGGTTTGTATAATAACCGCAGGAAAAATTAGCTTCTAATAACCCTGGCCTTGGATACTCCTCGGAGGTGGCAACCAAAAGGACCTGCATTGGTGCAGGCTTAGAAGTGCATGGGTTTACAGGGTCTAAATTTAGGCTTTAAACAACCATAATCCCAACCCTAAACCCTAAACCCCTACCCTAAGCCCCTTTTTCCCTAAACCCCAAATCCTAAATCCCTAAACCCCAAAACCCTCAAGGCTTCAGGGCTCTTGGGTTTAGGACTTTAGGGGTTTCTGGGTGTTTGGGGTTTCCGGAGTGTTCGGTTTTTAGGGCTTTTCAGCTTTATAAGCTTTAGGGAACTCAGCTTCCAAGGCCGAAGCTCTTAAAGCTTCGCAGAGGTTTAGGGTCAGGTTTTGTTTAAGCGCTCCGAAAAAGGTTGTAGGGCTTAGGGTCTATATAGGGGTTTAGGGTTTAGGGTGTAGTGTGTATCTATATACCTTTGGGGAACTTTCGGGTTTCGGGAAATATGGCTTAAGTGAACAAAACGCGATCGACTCGTCGAACTTCTCCATGATGCATGTGGCATGATGCTCGCCCGGCCCGGCTGTGCTAGCATTGGATGCTGTGCCAGCTTCCTTAGGACCTCCTCGTTTCGGAGCATCGCCAGCTGAGCGCTTGCGTTCTGCTCAAAGTCGCATGTCAGCCCAGAGTCGTTTCGGGGCAGTGTACGCTGCCATAATCGGTTCAGCGATTGATGCATGCGACGTCCGCGAACTCGCGTATATAGCGATCGCCTTCCCCGGACATCGCCATGTCAGTGATGCTGCGTGCGGGTGCTTTCCCGATGTATTCGGACATGCAACACGAATTCTGTTTATTTAAGGTTGGAGGTTTATACTGAAAGCGTCTAGCTCGATCAAAATTTGGGGCATATACGTGCATGGGAAATGTGCACTCGAGACGCGCGCACGTGTTACATCATCTCGGGGAATCTAGGGCATAGGCTGCATCGATGCCAATTATAAACCGGTTCTTAGCCTCAGAGGGTTTAGGGGTTTAGGGTGTAGGGTTGAAGTAGGGTATTCGCAACTGTCAGGAACTCTCCCTAAACACACTATTTAAAGCCACAAACCGTCAACATATGTACCAATTAGCAGTGCATGCTGTCGTTAGATGGACCCCTGAATGCAGCCTGAGCAAAAAAACCCTCCTATAAGACCCGATCTCCTAAAACCTCAACCCTACAAGCCTTATGTAATGCCCATGAACTAATATCCTAGACTCCTATACTTATCACGATAACCCCCAATCAAATCTTGAGCCCTGTCCTCTTATATACCCTATATAACCTTACATAGAAGCCGCTTTAATGTGGCAGTCCCGAAACCCTAAAGCCCTAAAAGCCCTAAAGCCCTAAAACCCAAAAAACCCTAAAGCCTTATAAAACCCTAAAGCCTTAAAACCCTAAAGCCCTAGAACCCCAAACCCTGAAACC